GTGTATTTAGAGGTGTGTGAAGTAGAGTAAGGTTTTAAAAAAAGGTCAGTCAGATACTGATTTATTGGTTTATTTAGAGCACTGCTTGTACCGCCAATCATAATTTCACTTGCTACCCATAACAATGAGTCATTTCCCTTAACAATTTGCCACATAAGCTTCTATAAAATTTGTTTTGCTTGCTCACTCTACTTGTGGTTTTAGAGCATAAAATGAAAATGTGAACCAGACCAGAGACTGAGGCCTTCCACAAGCCTTTCCTGCTTCTGGTCCATTGATGACATGTCTTTCACTCTCATTGGTGTTAAGAGTGCTTTTTCCAGGAAGGTTTCACAATGTATACAGTCATTGCTGCAGTTTCTTGAAAACATTTTCAGTTGTTTAGAATTAATTCTAGAGGCTGGAGAGATGGCTCGGAGGTTAAGAGAGCTGGCTGCTCTTCCAGAGGTTCTGAGTTCAATTCCCAGTAACCACATGGTGGCTCACAACCATCTATCATGAGGTCTGGTGCCCTCTTCTGGCATTCAGGCAAATATGCAGACAGAACACTATATATGTAATAAAAATAATAAATAAGTTTAAAAAAATATTAAAAAAAAAAGAATCCTACTTCTCCTGGTGTCTAGCAGCTTCTACATTATTTTCTGCCCTAGTAGGTAGGTTTGCCCCTTTGTCTTTTTTTGTGTTCACTACCTAACCCGATGATGCATTCATAATTTGATGACATTTTGGGGAGGGGTGGAAAGTTGGAATCTTATTAAGGTCACATACTTCAGGAAGCACAAAGGCAGAGCAAAGGGCCAGGAAGAAGAAAGAACCCCTTTCTTGTTCTTCCTTGTTCTTGGCCCTTTCCTCTCTGTTTTTGTGCCTCTTGAAGTCTGTGAGGTAAATAGCTTTTCACTCCCGTGCCCTTTTACCCTGATGGTTCTACCTTCCCACTTGTCTGAGACTCATGGGGACACCCAAGGAAGGACTGTAACTCCTGCAAGTGCCCTTAGTTGCTGAGATAGTTTATTACATTGATGGAAAACATACTTCTTGTAATTTGTTTAAGGGCATTTGTGTTGCATTGTACATCAATACTTTTATACTGTTTTGTGTTTGAAGAAATGTGGTATATCTATTCCATAGATTTTACTTGTCTATTCACCTGTTGATGGACATTTGGCTACTTTAAAAAGTTTATTTTGGCTATTGGGAATAAGGCTGCTGTGAACATTTGTACTTGTTCTGAAATATACTTTTAAGGTAGAGACCTCCCTGTCAGTGTGTTTGTCATCCTCTCTTTTGGTGTGGGTGTCATCTTTAGAGCCCTGTATAGACAGTGACTTTTGATAAGTGCTTTATTGCCTAGCTTGCTCTTTGTTTTCTAATTGATGAGCTTGTTAGAATGGATGTACATGATTGCCATGTGACAGAGTGGCAGGAGTCTGATTTCACCTTAATACATAAAAAAAAATTATAGCTAATAATCAGGAATGTTGCAAGCCATCAATTCTGTGGAGATACTGTAATTGTGCCCTAGATCTTTCACTGTAGTAACAAACAATGACATACTGTTATCATCTACCGGAATTACCAGCTGTGTTTACTAAACAGTACCATCAAGAGGTAATTGCCCCAGAGGAAATGCTTGTTATTGAAGTCTTTAATTTTTTTTGAAATGTTTACCTTATAAACAATGATTTGAAGGAATAACTTTATTTTATTATATTCAGTTTTCTGATTATGGAAGTTAACTACAACTTTCTGGATTCTACAGGAGAACTTTTGTAACCAGTTAGTGGTCTTTGTTAGAAGACCACACATCTGTCTTTTAAAGTATGTGCTATTCCTAATTTTACTGAGAAATTAAAACTAGAAGGGAGAAGCCAGAGTGTGTTGTTACTTGCCTATACCCCCTACTTTATTCTAAGGAAAGCACCCCCTTTAGAGTTCTGCAATAAACACTGTTAGCTGTTTTACTGGAGTGTGTTAAACTACTGTTTTGTTCTCCCTTGAGCTTGGCTATTTCCTTGTAAAATCTATAGCATATCCAGACAACTTGGTGCTTTGTATTTGAACAAATCCATTACCTGATTTCATCATTGGGTTTTAAGATCTAAGGGAGAGGCATTTTGTCTCTGAATGTTCAGTCTCAGCAGCACTTGGTTTATGTCAGTTCACAAATATTGAGAGAATAAAAGCATCTTCTGTAAGTTCACCAACTTTTTGTATTGGGTACCTATTGTGTTGTCATCATTTCCAGTGGTATTGGCTTTATCTATGCCACTGATATAAGAATGAGAAAATAAATTTCTCAAGTATTTTGCTGCTTTTAATTTATCATTCTGAAGTGATAGAAGTTATGCCTAGATCCATTAACATAACCAAGACTTATTTCCTCTTTATCTAGTGGTATTAATATGTAACTAATAGATTTGTGAATTTAGTTTTAGGGTGATTCAGGGAGACATGGTCAGTCTTTCTGGTCTTCTCATAGAGTAACAATTGTGTGATTAATTTTCCTGTCTATATAGTAACACATGGCTCATACCATGATATCAGGAATTTAGCAAGTCATCTAAATTTGGAGGTCCTTTGACTTGTGGTGGAAGCTATAGTTCAGATGTGTCAAATGTTCTAACTTTTTATTTGAATTTTTTTTTTTTTTATTTTGTCTAGTTCAGTCCTAGGCCATATTTTAGTGTCTGGCATAAGTCTTACAGTTTAATTGTAATACTTTATTTGTACTCTTATGTAGTTAATGACATTTTAGATTTATCAAGAAATAGTTATGAGTCACTCTTTAGGGTGAATTATTAGATTTAAAATACTGTATTCTTCAAAAGTGTTTCTCTTCTCTGCGAATGAAACATGCTAATTTAAAATAGTTCCAGGTTAGCCAAAGCTACATAGTGAAACTCAGTTTCAAAACAAAGGAAAACACAAAATGTTAATGTTAGCTATGCTTTTGAAATACTTACTTTGGAAACTAAAGTTTAGTTATTGTCCTTGTGACTTTATTTTAGCAAGATATTCATCTTCCTCCTCCTCCTTAAGTTTCTGACCCTCCCAGATCACCACATCTTTCTCCTCCTCCTCCTTTCTTTTCTTCCTTCTCCTTCTATCCTCCTCCTCTTTTTTGGGAGGCTTTTTTCAAGACAGTATTTCTCTGTGTAGCCTTGGCTGTCCTAGAACTTGCTCTGAAAACCAGGCTGGCCTCACATTCAGAGATCCACCTGTCTCTGCCTCCTCTGGGATTAAAGGCATGTGCCACCACCACCAGGATAGCAGGATTATCTTACCTGATAGACTTTTTCCTCTGTGAATTAAAAATTTACCATTAAACTAGCATATATAAATTGTGTCTATAGATGATGGCTGCAATTTAGTTGCTGAGTTTTTTGTTTTCCAAAGCATTATAGGGCTGGGAGCATAGCTCAGTGGTAGTGTGCTTGTGTAGGGTAGTAGTTGAGTGATGGGGATTATCTGGCAGATCTAAGGTTCCTTTGATCAGGGACAGGAGCCCTAACTACTGGGACCAGTGGGACCATGGGTGGCCCACCTCAGTATTCCAGAAAACCTTAACCTTTTGTTGCATTTTCTATGATTGAATGGAATTCTCACAAAAGTATATCATTTACTAATTGAACTGTCTGGTTTTGCCCATTAATTTTATGTCAGAGTCCTTGCTAAGAATCTCACCTAGGGGAAAATGTTCATTTTATGAAAATTTCCTCATAATTGATATATGCCAGTATAAAATTGATTGAATGGGAATTTGTATACATGTTTAGTACTGTTGAATTGTTTTACACAATGCTTTTTTAGTGACATCAAAAATATTTTTTCATACAGTATATTTTGATCATATTCTTTCTTCTCCCCAAAGTCCTTTCATACCCTCCTAACTCCCACCTGTTGTTTTGTCTGTCTGTCTGACTGTTTCTGTGTCTGTGTCTGTGTATGTGTGTATCTTAAAAGACAAAAAAAAAAAAAAAAAAAAAAAAAATTGAAAATCAAACCAAACAGCAATAAGGCAAAAAATAATAAAAGGAAACCAAAATCCCACCCACATAAAAAAATGGAGCTGTTTTGTGTTGGTCTGCTGCTTCTGAGCATGGTGCCTGCCTGGAGTGAGGATGATACATCCAGTGATATTCTATTACAGAAAAAAATGACACATAGGAACTCACAGAGACTACGGCAGCATGTATATGACCTGTTCATGATCAAACTAAACAAATCCCAGCGCTGAGAAGGGGAAGTGGACACACAGAGCCCTGCCTAACCAAGAGCTATTTGCAATTGATATTTACTGGCATTTTCATCTTAAGGGACTATTTAGGCTAGATATTTCCTGAAACAATACTTAATTATGTATCTCTTGCTGGGTGGTTATGGTGCATGCTTTTAATTCCAGCACTTGGGAGGCAAGAGGTAGGTAGATCATTGAGTTCAAGGCCAGACTGGTCTATAGAGTGAGTGCCAGGACAGCTAAGGCGACCCAGAGAAACCCTGTCTCAAAAAAACAAAACAAAACAAAAAACTCCAACAAAACCAAAATCAAACAAACAACCCTGATGGGAGGTGTCATTCTGTAAATATGTTTCTCTTATTGGTTAATGAATAAAGCACTGTTGGCAAATAGGAAGGCAAGATAGGTGGGACTAGGAGATAAGGAGGATTCTAGGAGATGTAGGGACTTGAGAGTAAAGGTCTGGACCTTCTCTCTGGTAAGAAAAGACCACGTGGAAACACTTAGATTGATAGAAATGGGTTAATATTTAAGACAGAGTTAGCCAATGAGAAATGCTATAGCAGGCCAACAGTTTTATATCTAATACAGAGTCTCTGTGTGTTATTTGGGGCTGATGTGGCTCTGGGACCAGGCTGGCAGTAAAGCTTCTTGTAACACAACCCCCCCACCCCAAAAATCCAACAAAACAACAACAAAACAGTATATCTCTTAATCATCATTATGAGCTTTTATGTTGACACTGACATTTTTTGTATAGGAGTTAAAGTTCCTCGGAATTTTCGCTTGTTGGAAGAACTTGAAGAAGGACAGAAAGGAGTAGGTGATGGTACGGTTAGCTGGGGCCTTGAAGATGATGAAGACATGACACTTACAAGGTGGACAGGCATGATTATTGGGCCACCAAGGGTCAGTGCTATAAATTATACATGTTTATTTAATATTTATTGTTTATTTTGAGTTAACATTTAATTTTATTGGTAATAAAAGACAATTGTGATAACTTTTGACAGGACTAATTCCTGCATTTTTATATATACTGTGTATATATTAATTATTAATAACTCTTGTTTGAAGTGTATAAGCTTGGTTAGCAGGAGGATTGGGGTGATGGGGGAGTGGCATGGTTGTTGTCCCCAAAGTGTTTGTGTTTTAGTAGAGAAGAAAAAAAAATCAGTCTAAGTATTAGATTCTAATATGGCTGAGCAAGTTTACCATGTTTCTTCTACTGGAATAAATTGAGGAAGGTGGACCAGAGAAGGAAGTTGTCCTTGGAATAGGCCATGAAGGACTGATTGGTAGGATTTCTGAAGGTGGAGATGGGGATGGAGAACATTCCATAATAGAGAGGAAGAAAAGGGGAGGGAATGGAGGGGATATTTGGTAGAGTGTGTCACTTGTTACCTGCTCTCTGATGTGACTGAAGATCTCTAGATTGGCTTTCAGTGATTACATATTGCTGTGCCCTCTGTTTCACAGGCCTGGGTGGGTTATTTTAGGTCTTAATACCCCAATTTACAAAATATAGCAAATCTAAGACTCTTTTGGAGGTATGTAGTTGAGTGGTAGAACTTGTGAAGTTAGTATGCATACCACATGGGATTCTTTCCTTTCCTTTCCTTTCCTTTCCTTTCCTTTCCTTTCCTTTCCTTTCCTTTCCTTTCCTTTCTTTTCCTTTCTTTCTTTCCTTTTCTTTTCCAGGACAGCTGTCCTGGAACTCACTCACGGAGTTCTCCTGCTTCTGCTTCCCAAATGCTGACATTAAAGGCTTGCATCACCATTGCCTGTCTAAGGTTCTTAAATATTTTAAATATATTGGCCTTTGTGCATTTGTTCTTAGGTCTTAGGATTTGTGTGAAGTTTTTATGTATTTTTTAACGAGATGGAGAATTTTTTTTTTTTCTTTCAGGGCATTTTTTATCCAGTGTCTTAAGCTGTGTATTAGAATGGTTATTATTCAATGTTGTAACTTCCTGGGAAAATATAAATTTGAGAGATTTATTTGTTTGTTTGTTTATTGTGATCCTGGTATTGAAGTTAAGGCATTGCTCATGCTGGGCTGAGCTGTATCCCCAGACTCTTCCACTTTTATTCTGAGACACAATCTCTGAATCCTCCAGGCTGGCTGTGAACTCACTATGTAGTACTAGGTAGACTTTGTACTTTAATCTGCTAGTTCAGCCTTCTGGGTACTTTAGGGTTATGGTCTCTTCCATGGGGCTTAATTTTTTCTCTCTTACCTTCTGATGAAAGAATTTTACCTGTTCTGTTTGGATAGAATTTGATTTTTTTCCTGGTTATTAAAAATGTTTCCTGTAATTAGCAATGCTAGATGAGTAAGTGTATCTTGTGATATTTGCTGGTGTTCTTTTGCAGTCCTTTTATACCAAGTCTGTTAAGAGTACACAAATTATAGACTTTATGTGCACTCTTGAAAGTTTTCTTCTCTGTAAGACATTGAAGAAGGGAAATAAGATTGGTTAAAAGACTTTATAACTTGATATTTGTGATGAAAACTGATTTCTTCACTGTCTGTAAACATTATTATTGTACTCTAGCTAAAAATTAAAAAGCATGTAATTGTAGCATTGTGGCATAGAATAATTTGAAGATTTAAGTCAAAACTTGGTAAAATCTAAATTTGAAATTATTTAGGTTGGGTTTTTCTCCAGCCACTCCCCAGACTTTGTATTTGAAGAACGTGTTGGACCTCTGCTAGTTTATCAGTGGTCTTGCAGACAAACTCTTTAACAGTTTCCCAGTGGGGAGGAACTGCTGTAGCTCCTACTTTATTGCTCTCCATTTGGGTCCCCATTAGGATTCCTAAGCCCCTTGCTTTTCCTGGTGTCATTGACACATAGGAACTAGCATGTCCTGCCCTTACCCAATTGGATTTAAAGGCTATTTGTGTAGCTTCTGTTCTTTAGCTCACTGAGACACAGGCAGAGATACTATTGGCCTTCTCCTCTGTGGGTCATTGTGTTGGAATTGTGTCTGTGTGTATGCTACCCTTTCTTCACCTTCCAAGGTTTATGACTTAGGCATATAATGCACATTTATTTTATTGGAGTTTAACATGATAAGGTAGACTTTATAGAATTTTACACTGCTTGGTTAAGAGTGTAAAATTTGGAATATGATTGCATAGAGAGCCTGATCCTGTAGTACTAAACGGAGTGTGGGGGTGCCACTGAACAAGGCCTATTAGGGTCTTCTCTACTCCTGTCTTTTCAGAGATGAAAAATTACTGTGTTTTCTGGCTATTAGGATGAGATTTAATGACCCACTTTAGGGTATGCCTTCCATACCGTAGGGTTTTGTGACCTGATTCAGGGAAGAAGAGAAGGACTTGCTTCTGTTTATTTTTTTGTTTGTTTTTTTTGGGGGCAGGGTCTTGCTGTGTGGCCTAGGCTGGTTTCAGACTTGAAATGATCTTCTTGCCTCAGCCTCTTTAATGGTTGGATTACAATCATACCACCACGCCTGGCATTTTTTGTTTTGTTTTTTCTTTTTAATATAATTTCTTTAGATAATCTGATCTGCATTCAAATTGGAGAACCACGAAAAAGATTCTTGTTTGAGAACTGTTTGATTTCACTCAATTTTATATCACCAAATTGCTGGGTATATGACTGTTTGCTGTCAAGTTTGGATGAGTTATAGAGCTCTTTCAAAATATTGAAATATTAACAACATGCACTGGATTGTTTCATACATTTTTTTAATTATAGTAGTTTAATATTGCATATATGAACTCCACTTGAGAATAGCTTTGTAGCTGTTAAAATGGTTTATTTTCTCCCTAGTTTTATACATACATCAATAGATATTACATTTGTTACTTTGATTTATTATGTAATTTCCCATTTCAGAATTATACTATTAAGTGAACAAAAGCTATAATGAGAGAGAAAAGCTAATTATTACATGAGAATAAACCCTGAATAGCCTTGAAGTCTCAGTTATAGCCTTAAAATTCCTGTTTTATAAGAATGTAGTATTAGCTAAACTTAATTAGAAGCAATGTTTGAAAGTATGCATAAATATAAAGTGTACATTCATTCAGATAATGGAGTTAATAAAGCATAGAATTCATTAAGTAATAGTTTAAGTAAGATGAGGTATGTTATGATTTTCCCTTTTCTAGAAGTAATGCCTACCCATCTGTGAAAAGTGATCATAATTTTTTTTTTAATCCAGCAAATTCATGTGAGAATAAAGAGAGGTATTGCTAGTATTACTGAAATAAAAGAAACCAATGAGATTATTTTGGCTGGTGAAAACCTTTATGTATATGTGATACAAGCCACATACTCGTCCTTTCAGTATTCCTTTTTTTCTAAAAAAATCAAAATCTAAATTTAAGTTTCTTTCTGATTTGTTATTGGCACCATTTCCTAATTATATAGTTCAAATAACTTTGTTTGTATACAATCACAAACATTATAGCAAGTATATTAATATTACATTTTTCTTTATTAACAGTTGGGCAATATTTTAATTTTTGTCATTATGATCATCCTTCTTTTTTCCCTATCCTTCCAGACAAACTATGAAAACAGAATATATAGCCTGAAAGTAGAATGTGGATCTAAATACCCAGAAGCTCCTCCATCAGTTAGATTTGTAACAAAAATTAATATGAATGGAATCAATAATTCCAGTGGAATGGTAAGTTATGGTAATACTTTCATTTTTATATAGCATATAATATATAGGCAGGGGTTTGGAACAGTTTTGTTCAGTTGAAAAACTAAAGAAGTTTGTCATTCAGGAGTTAGAAGCAGGGGATTGGGAGTTTGAGGACAGCCTGGGCTCTGTCACCAAAAAAAAAAAGTTTGTCTTAGGTTGTTTTTCATTTTCTTCCCCTCCCCTCTATCCCCTTTAAGATATAATGTCACACTGTAGCTAGCTCCAGGCTAGCCTGGAACTTGAATCAATCCTGCTTCAGCCTTTTGAATGCTAGGAATGTAAGAAGTCCCTTTAACATCTTCAGGTGTCAAAAAGTAAATTTTTTCTTAGAATTTTATTAATTGCATCAGTATTCTTAGTTTGAACATATCTTTGCTATTCTTTGTTTCTTTCTTTAGAGCTAAATTGCTTTCTTGAGATTAAAAGGATGAATATTCATGAAGTATGTTTTTCTTTGAGGGACAAGTGTGTCTGTTTTATTATTCAAGTCTAAGTATGGTTGACACATTAAAGTGGATAACAAAAAGAGTAAACTGTCCTGATGCATATTAAGGATATGGTAGCTGACTTTCTAATGTGAGTAGATTGATGGTTAGGTTCATAGGATTTTGGACTCATGCTCTTAAGGTGCCATGTTGAGAGTATACTCAATGTGGTTGTATATATTAGGGAGCAAAGTAGCATCAGCTTCATCCCTCATCAGCATGAACTTCATCCCTCCTAGGAATTAAGACTGTCAGCGTTCTTGACTTTGTGTGTTCTTGTTATTCTGTCTGTGTCTGTGTTCTGTCTTCCCACCAGTATTTTATGTATGTACACATCCATTCTCCCTCCCCCCTCTCTTTTCTTCTATTATTAAAAGTCACAAGTTTATGCTAATACTGTTAAAAACAAAGAATATTTTGGCGTGGCACAAAGGTACATGTGAACAAAGCAAAAGTAGCTGGGCAACGCCATTTTTTTTCTACACAGATGGTACACTAGAACCGAAACCTTGTTAGCAAACATACATGGGCAAGATGTTTTTTATCTTTTATTCTTGACATAGGGGGTAACTATGTCTTTAGCCATTTGTGGGTGCTTGACTCCACATCTGAGGAGGTTGGCTACTTGGTACAAAGGGGAAGTTTCAGGAAATAGCAGTCCTTGCTGATCTAAAACTGCCTTTGGAGCTTTGTATTATCATTGTCACAAGTCTTCCTCCTTGGGGAGGGGAAGATTTGATTTCATTTTATACTTCCAGGAAACAGTTCAGTCACTGAGAGAAATCAGGGATGGAGCAGAACTGTGCAAGACTACTCCTTACTGCCTCATCTCTTCTGACTTGCTCAGCTGCCTTTCTTACGTAGACCAGGCCAACTTTGCCCAAGAGTTCACTACCCACAATAATAGCTCTCCTTCATCAAAGAGCAATTAAAAAAATGCCCCATAGATTTGTCTGGTAGAGGCAATTCCTCAGTTGAGGTTCCTTCTTCCCAGATGTCTCTTGCTTGTTAAGTTTATAAAAATTAACTAACACAAATACGTGAAAGGGAAGGCATGCTCATGTGGAAGTCAGAGGACAATTTTCTGGGAGTCAGGTCTCTCCTCTCACAGTGGGACCCTCCACCAGATGTGCTGTATTTCCTGCTTCCCATAATCTTTACAGAGCAAGTAGGCAGGATAATAAACACTATTATTTTGTTTGAATTTAAAAACATTTTAAAACCAAAATTGTGAATTTTTTTTAATAAAATGGCTAAAACCTATTTCATACCATTTGTGCTTTACAGTCCTTTGGCTTTGGCCCAAGCTGAAGCCTTCTCTTCAATTTAGAAGGTATTGTTTCTGTACATGCTACTGTGTTCATTCTATGTAAGTCTACATGTCATGTACACATGTCTCACTTTGTTATGAACATGCCAATTTGAGATACTTCATATTGAACTATAAAAATTAGATTTCTCATTTTTAGTGCTTAAAATTCTTGCTGAGCAATTAGGTTATTTTAGGTTTTCACTGACAAGTTTGCTGCAATGAGTGTTAAAGCTTTTTGCATCTCTTTCTCTCTCTCTCTCTCTCTCTCTCTCTCTCTGTGTGTGTGTGTGTGTGTGTGTGTGTGTGTGTGCGCGCGCGCGCGCGCGCGTATATGCATATGCATACCTATGCCACAGTCAAGAGGACAGCTAACAGGAGTTCAGACTTTTCTTCCTACCATGTAGTTTCCTGCAGTCAAACTCAGGTTGGCAGGCTTGGCAGCTAGTTGTACCCTAAGGCTATGCTGTTCAACATGGCATTCATTGGTTTACTTATTTGGTTCTAATCTGTTGTGTCTATACTTTTTTAAAACACTAGAATATTACTAGGAAAATAAAAAGATGGACAAAATACTAGTTCAAATTTTGAGGGTAGGATTGCACCTAGTCATTAAATTTGGGCTGTTGGTCTTATTTTTGTGTAAGCATGGGATGTGACTGACATTGCCTTTGGGATCTTCCTTTAACAGCAGTGGCCCTAGAGCATATCTTGTGCTCCAAGGAAACTCTCTTTTTGCTTTCAGTTTCATTTACTAATGCTCAGTCAGGAAAGGCAGTTAGCTTTGGATACCTTGCTTTTGATCCATTTGTTTCAGTAAAAAACAACAAAAACAACTTGTGTTCTTCATAGAAACTTACAAAAATACCTGTAATGAAGGGAAAATTTGCTTCCAGTGCTTCAAAGCATAGCTTAATAATTAGAATTATTCAGGAGCCTTTTGAAATTGGAACAAAGGAAATGAAGGAAACAAAAAGAGTAGGCTGCTTAAGTCACTGAGGATGCCTTTGTATGAGTAAAGGTTTTATCAGGTGTGTATATGGGGACATTAAGCTATTTTCATAGTGATGGGGGATACAAAAAGATTTGAGTTTCTTGTTATAAACTTAAGGTTTGCAGTATATAACAGAAAAGACTAATATTTAATGTTTTTTTTACACTAAATTGAACCCTGGTTTTCTCTAAGAACAGCCAATACTCTTATCTGCTGAGCATCTCTCTAGCCCCTACTTAAAAATTTTAAATTGAGAAACATGCTATTTTTTTTCTACAATAAAAACCCAAGTAGCTGAATTTTAAACAAAACATTGGACATTTTATTTAAATATCTAACAGTTACAAAAAAAATAAGCACAGGCAAAATATTTGTGTCCTGGAGACATTCTGTTTTTTCCTGCTGACATATTTGAATTAATTTGCTTAAAATTTGTTTGAGTAGGAGAGTGGGGGTATGGGCAATGAGATGACTCAGTAGCTAAAAGCACTTGATGTTCAATACCGATGACCCTGGAACCCACATTAAAAAAAAAAAAAAAAGTGGTTGCTCAGATCTGTAATCCCAGCATTTCTAAGGCATGTTGGGAGCAGGAGACTAGGATAATCCATAACCAGCACAGCAACAGAAGTAAAAGAGATGCTGGGCAGTGGTGGCACACTCTTAATGCCAGCGCTCTGGAGGTACAGGCAGGTGGGTCGCTGCCTGTTTGAGATCAGCCTGGTCTACAAGAGCTGGTTCCAGGACAGCCTCCAAAAGCCACAGAGAAACCCTGTCTCCAAAAACAAAAACAAAAACAGAAGTAAAAGAGAGCTACTCCTGAAAGTTGTCCTTCCTTATATGTGCACTGTTAGTGCTCCAAAGCTCTTTCTCATACACATATATGTATACCTAAAATATATTTTTTAGACAAAAGGATTTAAGCTGGGTATGTGGTGGCAGATACCTATAATCCTAGCAGTTGGAGATAGAGGCAGTTTATGGAATTTAAGGTATCCTCAGCTACATAGCAACTACTTGATACCCTATGCAAAAGCAGAACATGAGCTAAAAAGAATTTGGGTTTTAATACCTAATACATATGACATATGTAAACACACTATGCACATATCCACAGTCATAGGTCAGGTTATTCCCCACATTTTGTGGCTTTTGTTTATGTTTAGCATGCTAGCCATACCCCCCACCCCCAGGCTGCTGATCTGTAGTAGTAAGATCTGATAGTAAGCAATCCTTAATCCTAAACTTGGACTTGTAATGGTAAAGGTAAAGGTAAAGGTAGAATTTACTAGAAATATCATCGAAAGTTCATGTGTTAAGGATATTGATTAACCTAAACATTGAGAAGAGCTTAAGTAAAAATTGAAAAGTCAAAAGGTGAAGCCTGCTAACTAAATTTAAGATGATAGCATTTCCTGGGGAAGTGCTAATCAACAGAAAAGAACTCCTGCACGTGGAAATTGTACTTGTAATTCCATGTTTAGGTCTAATTTCTATAATTTCCAATAAGGTTACATTATATTCTGTATATTTTCTGTGTATATAAAAGAAAAGGGGTGGAGAGAAGAAGAAAAGTAAAACTCAGGATACTCTAAATGAATTCTGCACTCATGCATTTCTGGCCTGTGTTGTATTTCCAGTTAAGATGCATGCATACTGGCCTCCTTGCTACAAGTAGACATTTACTGCCTTGTTCCATATTACCTTAGTTATCCATGGGTTGGGCTTTCTGAGTGAACAAAGTATATTACCTATTTTGATAATAGTTATTTAAAACATTAGATACACAAAATAGCTCTCATGAAATAAAACCCTAATGACTGTAAATTTTAGAAGCACCTCCCCCCCCCCCCCCCCCCCCGATTTCCTGTCTTACTGTTCTATTGCTGTGATGAGACATCATTACAAGGTAATTCTTTTGAAAAGAAGCATTTAATTGAAGGCTTACCTGACAGTTTTAGTGGGTTAGTCCATGGTTATCATGGTGGGAAGCAGACAGGCATAATGTTGGGACAGTAACTAATTGCTTTACATCCTGATCTGCAGGCGGAGATACAAACTGACATGGGCTTTGAAATGTTAAAGCCACTCCCCTCCAACAAGGCCACACCTGTAGATAAAGGTTCTGTCCCACTTGGTCCCACAGCCATTTATCCCCAAATAAACACATAGAGGCTTATATTAATTATAATATGGCCAATGGCTCAGGCTTCTTACTGGCTAGCTCTCTCTTAATTATTAACCCATAACTAGTAATCTATGTATTTCCACATGGCCTTATCTTACCAGAGAATGTCCAGCATCCTATCTTCCTTGTAGCTACATGGTGTCCCTCTGGGGACTCACTCTCCATGTTCTCTCCCCAGAATTCTCCTTGTCTGGGAACCCTGCCTATACTTCCTGCCTGGTTACTGGCCAATCAGTGTTTTGTTTTATTCATCAGCCAATAAGAGAAACATATATACAGAAGGACATCCCCTGTTACATACCTATTCCAACAAGATCGTACTTCCCAGTCCATCCCAAACAGTTCCAATAACTGTTGTTGATTAAATATCTATATGATTAAATAACTATATGAACCTATGGAGGGACTATCCTTATTCAAAGTACCACAATAACCAAACAACTTAAGGGAGGAAGGCTTTATTTTGGCCTACAATTTGAGGTATATGGTCGAGAAGGGTCAAATAAGGTAGGTAACCTGAGCATGAGGCAGCTAGTCACATTGCAGTCAGGAAACAGAGAGATAAGTACTGGCATTTGCCTTTTCTTTTCCTTTTTATTCAGCTCATAAACTCAGCTTAGAGTAGGTCTCCCCATCTATCTTAACCCAGTCTAGAAATTCTCAGAGCCACGCCAAGAGGTTTGTCTCCTAGGTAATTCTGGAGCTAGTCAAGAGATTGTGCTAGTTATGGAAATGAGAGGGTCTCTGCAGGAGAACAGTTTGAGAGTATGAAAACAAGGTGGCAAATGTGTTGGGGAAGAGATGAGCAGGGTCCCCTGTCCATGAGGTTGCAAGTGTGACATAATGTACTTGTGATGGGAGATGTCATTCTGTATATGTTTCTCATACTGGTTAATAATAAAGCACTGTTGGCCAATAGGAAAGGAAGATAGGAGGGACTAGGAGACAAGGAGGAAATAGGAAGTAGGAAGGAGGAGTCAAGATGGAGAGTCTGAAGAAAGCAGTATGCCGCTGGCTCCCTGGTAAGAGAAATACATAGATCAGCAGAAATGGGTTAATAATTAAGGCAGAGCTAGCCGATAAAAAACAAGTAACAGGGCCAACAACATTGTATCAAATACAGAGTCTCTGTGTGTTATTTGGGGCTGGCGCAGCGGCAGGACAAGACCAAGTGGCAGGAGGAAAAACCGTACTCGTTACATACTTGAGGAAAAGTAATAGAAAGCTCCAGAGCAGAAACCATTTGTAATGTATTTTGGATCAGAATGTGCTGCTGAATGAATTTTTTCCATGTGGAAATCACTCGAGTTGGTTCACCTCAATTCAGATCTCAGGCAAGAGAGTGGTTGAGGATATTGGATCAGTCCTTAAAGTGATATTTTCCTGAATAGTCATGATTGTTCCACCTCACCTAATGGTTGGAAAAAGAGGGTTCCTAAGTTCGCTATTGGGAGTACTTACTAAACACAAGATAGTGTTTGGCCAGAAACACAACAAAACATAAGGATTGAAAGTTACATATAAGCTGGAAGAATAAAGCCAAATAGCTAAGTAACAGTTAAGGAAACTTCATTACTTCAGAATTTTGCTATACAGGTCCCCAGGGAAGTTTCACTTTCTTCAAGACACACATTTCACAAAGGGCTGAGATTGATGGCTCTGTGATTAAGAGCTTTGTCTTAGTTAGGTTTCTATTGCCCCATTAAAACACCCAGCAAAAGTAGATTGGAGAGGAAAGGTTTTATTACAGTTTCATACCACAGTCTATTACTGAGGGAAGTTAGAGCAGGGTTTCAAACAGGGCATGAACCTGGAGGCAGGAGCACAGTCCATCATCAAAGGAAGTCAAGCCAGGAGGCTGGAGGCAGATGCTAATACAGAGGTCATGGAGGAGTGCTGTTTACTGGTTTATTTCTTAGCCTGCTTTTTTATTTCACCTAGGACCACCAGGCCAGGGGGGTGGTACTGTCCACAGTGAATTGGGCTATCACATCAATCATCAATCAAGAAAACGTTCCACAGGCTTGCCTATAGGCCAAGCCTGTGGAAGTATTTTCTTATTTAAGATACCTTCTCTGATGATCTCAGCTGTTGTCAAGTTGACATAAAAAACGAGCCAGCACAAATGTGTATTGCCTGTCACTTTAGTTCCAGAGGATCTGATGCTGTCTTCTATACTACAAACTCTATACACACACACACACACACACACACACAATTTAAATCTTTAAAAAAGCTCAATGCTCTGGCTGTTCAACCTTGAGAATTTCTTTTCAGAGACTCCGCAGATGATTCTAGCAATCTCATCTTTTTTAACATTTGGGAGGTGATTGGTTGTGTTTGTGTGAACATACATGTTCACAGAAGCAGAGGCTGTCATTTGGCAATGTCTTCAATTGTTCTGAACTTTTTATTGAATCAGGTTTGCTGATTGGGCTCACTAGACTAGTGCCTTTCAGCTCCTGATCCACTGCTGTGGTGGGGTACAGGTGCACACTGGTCTGCCTTGCTTTTTGACATGGTGCCAGCAGCGATTGAACCCAAGTCCTTAAGTTTGCATGATGAGCACTTGGCTGACTGAGCCATCTCCCCAGAATTCTCAACTTGGGTCACCGAGTAGAACTTCAGGATGAGTTGGTGTGAAGCAGAGTTTACTAGAAATGGTTTTAATTGTAGAGTCAAATGTTGATGTTAAGGGAGGGAGAGAGATGGACATTTAAGAAAAGGACAGTTGAATATATCCAAGTGGCAAGAATGCCACCTAGTTATTTCTTTACAGCCATCTTAATATACATGGCTTTTTTTTTCCCCCCCAAAATCTCTCTTGCAGTCTTTTTCCCCTCTATTACTCTTTTAGGTAGCCCTTAATGGGTTTCATTAGTCACCTCTCTTGTTCTCTATTCCTCTTCCCATTGGCCTACTTCCTTCCCAGTAGTCTTCTTTTTTTCATGCAAGATATTTTAATTATTCTTAAAGTGGTCATATAGTATTGTATTGGGTAAATAAATTTGTATTAAGATACTCACATTGAAGGTTTTTTTTTCCCTCAAAAAAATTCATGTGTGATCTTCTTTTCTATGCTGCAGTACTTTGGTAGTTAATTGTCTGTCTTTTTCCTCCCCTCTCAGGTGGATGCACGAAGCATACCAGTGTTAGCAAAATGGCAAAATTCCTATAGCATTAAAGTTGTACTTCAAGAGCTAAGACGTCTAATGATGTCCAAAGAAAATATGAAGCTTCCACAGCCACCAGAAGGACAGACGTACAACAACTGATTTTAGTGGAGCTCAAACTTGTCTTAAATCAACAACAACCTTCTACTCATGTTAATGTCTTGATTAAATATCACCATGAAAATACCCACATTAAGTAAAAGAATTCCAGCTGGTAAACATGATCCGGACAGTTGTAAGAATATATTTAATATATTTACACCTATTATGTTTTCAGGTAACAGAAGTACAGCACAATTTTTCTTTCTCTTAAAGCACTGTCGTTTAAACATGAACCTGAAATAATCAAAATTGAATTCAGGTTTTCAAGACAAAAGCATGGCAAAGGAGTGTCAGATGGCAGTGGAAACCTTTGTCTTTCTGGAAAGTAAAGTCTCAAGAAGGAAGAACAGAAATGGCATGCTTTATCCATTATCCTTAGACTGCAGTGAACTGTTTAAAGTAGCAGGTAGAATGAATAGACACAGTTGTATTAACTCTTGAAGCGGGTGTGGGTGCTGACTACTATAGCATCAAAAATTGCTTCAGGATTGTTTTGATACCTGTATTTAAAATAAAAAGATGTTGGGGTATTGATGAATCTGTTAAAAGCTGTTCCTGTTTGTTACATGTAATAGACATAAATATTTGTTTACAGTCTTTGTTTAATAAAACATACTTAGAAGTTTTAAGTGAAGTCAACAAAAAGGAAATAGGTTATGGATATGTGATATTTTGAGATTAAAGTTAGTCTTGAAATGTAAATAAAATATGGAATGTGTCCTCAGAGACTGTGCTATTTCTGTTACATTGATATATGTATAGTAGCCATATCAAGGTGGCAATATTGAGGATTATTAAGCTTGGCATGGTGGTGGCAGAGGCAGGAATATTGCAAGTTCTATCCAGGCCAGCCAGGGTTGCTAAATAAGACTGCATTTCAAACAAAACAAAACAAACCTAAAACCAAAAATACTGAGAACATTACATTTTTTTAATTCTATTTTATATACTTTGAGTTGGAATTTACAGAGCATTTACTTTGACATATTACATGCTTAGTTTAATTTCTTTGCATACATTTCTAATTTGATTTCATCAAAGGTAATATTAAAAAGGAATCCTTGTATTTTAGCATTTTTTATAGTCACAGACTACAAATTATTCAAGTATTCATTCTTTTTTCTTTGTAATGTATTTATCTTTATATGAAGCTTTTGGTTATTTACATTGAATATATTGACATTTCCTCCCTATCACATATTTTATTTGGGTGTGTAGGCACCTGTGCAGGTCAGAGTATACCTTTCTGGAGTTAGCTCTCCACTTTTATGTATGTTCCTGGTGTTGAACTCCAATCACTATGCTTGTGAACAAGTGCCTTCACTACTGAGCTATCTCATTGGTCCCCTCCCCTGTCTTTTAAAACCAATGAGAGTTAATTTTATCCATTCCACTCATTTCACTTTAAGAAATCTCTCTGAAGTTGAAAATTCATTTTTATTATTTTATCACAGTGACAGAGTTTGATTGTCAAAATATAAAATTTAGGTGTTCAAACTTTGCCCGTAAAGAAAGTAAAGGAAAAGTGTTAGTAGTAGACTGTGGATTATTAAACTATTTTGGTTACTTTTATAGCAAGGATAGTTTATTTGGCATGTTTTGATCAATTTCTTTCAAAGTTAAAACTTTTTTGGTCAGCATTGTGTTCATTAAACATCATTACTGGTATTTTGATAAAGGTATCACTGTGTAGCCTATGATGGCCTCAGACTTGCAGCAATACTCCTGTCTTAGCCTCCCAAGTACTGGTTTAGGTGCACACTACCATGTCTAACGTAAATATACTAATTTTTACGTAGCCTAGTTATTAAAGATTTTTATTCTGTGTGTGTGTGTGTGTGTGTGTGTGTGTGTGTGTGTGTGTGGCCTTAAAGTTGGTATGGTGATATATTATTTATGATTTATTAAAGCTTGCCTGAGGATTCATAAAGCAGTCATCCTCAAGATATAGAGATCAGGCAGTGGTGGCACACACCTTTAATCCCAGGACTCAGGATTAAGAGTAGATGGATCTCTGTTAGTTCAAGGCTACCATAGCCTACACAACACTGAAGAGTAACAGAGCTCATGCCTTTAATCTCAGCATTGGGGGAGGTATTTAAGACAGAAACAGGGTCTCAGAGCTGTGTTCATTCTCCAGTCACATTGAGGATAGGAAGACATTAAAGATCAGGATTCTCCAGTCACACTAAAGAGAGGCTTCAGCTGAGGTAGAGTGAGAGCTATTGTCAGCTGCTTTGCTTTTTTGATCTTCAGCTTGATGCTTGAACCCCAATATCTGACTCTAGGTCTTTTATTTATTGCGTTACAAGTTGGTGTCAAGAATCTCCCTCAATTACTCTTTCACTTTATAATTTGATACAGGGTTTCTAAGTGAACCCAGAGCTCACTGATGAAGCTAGCCTTGTTAATCAGCTTGTTGTCGGATTCCTGCCTCTGCTTTTCAAAGCCTCTCACCTATCATTTGATGTGGGTTCTGGGGATCTGATCTGCAATAAGCATTTCAGCCATTGAGCCATCTCATCAGCCCCTCAAAGATGTTGTAACTATTTCAAAACAATACAACATACAGTATCATAAAATTTTTCTATGTGTAATTTATTAAAAGACTTAAATATTATCCTAGTATTTTAATGGTTAAAGGTTAAGTTGATGGTATCGAGTCATTACCAGTGTGATAGTTTCTCCCTTGAAAATATGTCTTGTGTTACTTGGAAGCTAGTAAGTGTTGGGAGCTTTTGGTAGGCTGGCCTCATGTCCTCATTGTATATGCTACTGTGGAAGTTCTCTCCTCCACCCAAGTCTCTGTTGTTGGAGAGTCTAGCCTATTAAGCACACATACACACACAAAGAAAAACAAAACAAAACAAACAAACAAAAAAAAACCCCTTTCTTGTGGTAGGGATTGTGCATCTTAGCAGAAATCTGTGATTCATTTAATCGATTTCTAAAGCAGAATCCATTGTGCATTTAACAATTATAATATCTATGGTAATCTAAGATATCTTAACTGATGAAACTTTAGAGATAATAGAACCTCTTTTAAATATAAGCCATTAGTTTTAAAGCAAAATTTCCTTTGTAAAGTGGCTCGGGTTGAAGGAATGTTGTGGTGTAAACAGACTAGGAAATTACCTTATAAATTTGTTTCATAGATTTTTTTTTCAAGTGTGATCCTTGAAGATGACTATATATTAATAAAAGTTACAAAAGTAAAATTTTTGTTCTAGTAGGTCACTGTTATACTTTAATGGCTTTAACTACTTGGTTGATTTTCAGAATTGATAGATTTTTATTATTTGATAGTTTAAAATAGTTATTACATTTGTTTTGGGATCTGTGTATAATTTTCCAGGATTTTGTAACAAACATTGGGAGGGGTCAAAGGCATTTTAGTTTTCTGGGTGTGAAAACAAAACTAAAAATTTTATACTATCCTTTAAAAAAACTATTATGCTCAACATTTGAGTAGGTGAATAAAAGAGGGAATTAGTTTGGCCTATCAGTCCAAGTTACTTTACCAATAGGCTGATTTCAATGCTATCTGGTATCTAACATGTTATACATTTGTAAATGCATGTGGAATTATTTAAAAATTTAGAGCATATTGTTGGAAAACATTCTTAATAGCTTTGATATTTATGGCTTTAGGTCATTCTTGTAAGTGCATTTGTAGGTTCTGTTGTATAGAAAGATAGCATCAAACTGTTTTTGGTCAAAATTATGTCAACTTTTTAAAATGAATTCTCATGTCTGTATAAAATGTTATAGCATGTTGTAGCATGCTTGAAAAGATTTTAGAAAGTATTTACGGAATCATTTGTAGTTTTTCCTCTATAAGTGATTTTTAGGTTGAAAGTTAATATTCTTTGGGGACATTACCAAAGATTGGATGGACTCCCCCCCCCCCTATTATTTTTGTGTGTGTCTTTGTGCTTGGGTGTGCACACCCACGCTTAGCTAGCTATAGAGGTCAGAAAACAGTTTAGGCATTTGTTCTCTCCTTCTACCATGTGAGGTCATGAAACTCAGGTCATCTGGCTTAGAGGCAAGTACCTTTACCTTCTGAGCCACCTTTCCAGCCCCAAAGGAAATCTTACACTGAAAATGTTAGATGTTTAGGAAGTTTAGGGGAATGTTGGAAAGATACATGTTTTCCGAAAAGAAACGAATGAAGGTATTTGATGATAGAGAAAAGAAATAAAAGTCAAAACCACTATTTTGTAAAATTAAGGATTTTGAGAGACTCATGGAGTGAGTTACATGATTTAAAAAACCATTAGAAGGCTGGAGAAATAGCCTTGAATTAATTGGTGCAGGAAAAAAATTTTCTGAATAGACTACCATTCATGCAAGCACTAAGAGCAACAATTAAGAAACAGGACCTTGCTGGGTGGCAGTGGCACATGCCTTTAATCCCAGCATTTGGGAGGCAAAGACAGACAGATCTCTGAGTTTGAGGCCAGTCTAGTCTATAGAGCGAGTTCTAGGAGAGACTCCAAAGCTACACAGAGATCCACCCCTGCCTCAAAACAAAAAACTAAAAACAAAACTGACTTAGGTAGGTTCTCCCTTGTAAGTTTTTCAAATCAATGATAAAAGCTGAATAGATTTTTCTTAACTTGGAAGATCTAGCAACTGTCCTTTCTCAAGTGGGTAACTGTCTAAATCCCATGTGACAGTTGGGCAATGTATCACCAAATGTAGGTGTAATGCTGATTGTTTTTTTTTTTTTTTCTGCTGCACAGTAACAAAGTAGCTACAAAAACAAAAACAAAACTGCAAAGATTATACACAAAAGCAAGGTTGATTTCTGCTTGCAGGCTGTTGTCTTATATTCTATTGATAACTACCTTTTTGATGCCAGCTCTGCCCTAGTGGGTTAGGAAAAGCTGAGGTTGAGCCCCAGCTGGCCATGGCTTGCGCTTTTTTTCTTGGGCTTCCCCATGAAGAAAATCATTTGGTGACTTGGTTCCAAGTCCCTGCATGTGACTTAGACTGATATTTTCCAAGTACATCAGAGCTGTGAAGGTTTCATGGTGAAAGGAAAAGGTACTAGGAAGAGTAAAAGGTTTTTGGATGAAGACTACAGAACTGCACCAGAGTAGTAAACTATAGTTACTCGGATTCCGTAAAATTCATGGAAAGGTAAGGCTGGTTGCCTAAAATGTAATGTCTGGCCTAAAACTATGCTTATGTCTAGCCTAAAAGCTATGCTTAGAGAATATGAGCTACTAAGAAAGAAAGAAAAGAAGAGACCATTGCGTGAATAAAATTGGGGGGGGGGGGAGGGAAGGACACTGTTTTGGGCAGCCTCAGGTGGCAGGACTCCAGCAATGAAATCCTGGAATGCAGTCTTGCCATCCCTCAGCCTCAGATGCCCAGATGTAGACAAGCACATGGCCTGTTGCTGAGGAAAGTTAATGACTAAATTATATGCACTATGTAAATGAAATTTTAAAAATCTTAGAATAAAGAGTTTTTTTGAGAAACCAGAAAATTGTGAATTTGGTCAGTTTAAAAAAATCATTGAATTTG